GTGAGAAACGCGGAGCGCGCAGGGGAGGGGGAAGGGATATGCACCTAAGAATGCTGGAGAAGCTTGTTGGAGCATCTTCCCTTAAACTCAGACAAACACCCCAACCACAGGACGCCAAGCACAAAACAAGGCAGCGAGAAGTGGAGCGCTGGAGTGTTAACAGCTTGGCGGCTCTCTACAGGCAGATCTCGTGGAAACAGCAGGTTATTTTTCTCTTCTCAGTAACTTTAAACCCGAAAGCCTGTGGATCACGAATGAGATCCCCCTCGAGCGTCCTCGAGCTGTAGAGCCCCTTTAGTCACACCAGCAAGAAAGAGAAAATGTTTACCATCCCTCTTCTTTCCATCTCCAAATGGCTCTGCTACGCACAGGAAGGCAAAGGTTTAGGATCTTGTGCAGAGAAAAGATCAAGCTTATCCTTGACTCTATCCAAGTTTTCCACTTTCTCAGTGAAGAAAATATTTCAGGGGGTTGGGTTACCTCTCTGCTTGTCAACAAAAAATGATGGCTGTTGCCCTCCAGTTTCCTCCTGCTCGTAGCAGAGAGCAGCTTCCTGGCCAACTGGAGATTATCCTTACTGTGCTGCACCTGCAAAGAGAGAGGCACACCATAACCTCTTGTTCAGCTGCTGATTTCAGGCCAGAGCCCCAGCACTACTTACCACAGCAATCAGGCATTTGGGATTTTCTCTTGAGTCTTGGCCAAATTTTTACACAACACAGGCTTACCCCTCTCAACCCCCTACTTCAAATCTCATCACTTACAAAACAGAAAGTACCTTATAGATGTGGCTTATGATGCTGGTAGGAACCCTGTGGATTAGCCACCAGCCACACAATTATATAATGAAAGCAGCCTATTTTCAAATCTAGATGTTTAGGTTTGAAGCTTTTGCTACTAGTAAATAAAAAATGGTGGAGGGGGGCTTTTCTCATTTTTTGTTTCTCATTTTTAACAAGTGCATTATTTTTAAGGGATGGGGGGAAAAAGGAAATACCAAAACCCTTCATCCTGATGAAGGGTCTCACCCCTTTGGTGATGGCCGTAGCTGCTGGTCCAGAGCTGGAGCACTGTGCCATGGCCAGAAGGTTGTCAAAGACTCCACAGGAAGTGCTGGCACTGAAAGGTTCCCATCTCCTCCCTGTGCTGCCATCTCGAGATTCCCCCTCCCCTATTCCCCAAAGCTGTTAAGGCAGTGTCTGGATCGTCTTAGTTGAATAGGTGCTCGAGATGTTTCCAGTTCAGATTTCTCTCTCCCGCCCAAAGAAACGTAGAGGAATTCAGCTGAACTCTCTGGCAGATACAGACATTTCCCAACGGGATCTTTCACTTAGAGGTATCCTTTGTTTGCTTCCTTCATGTCAGTTAGCTTTAATCCCCAAATCACCAGGGTCCATTTCAAGTAAATCCGGAAAGTAAACCAGGATGAAACTAAAGAAGAAGAATTGCCATGAGGAGCTTCAAATACTTGCTGCATGGGAGGGTTTCAAAGCAGCACAGTGAAAGGTGTGACATTTCTGCAGTGTAATTTCCTCATACCTGAGGCACTAATGAGCCTCCTCTCCCCTTTCCCCCCCAAACCACTGGCTCCTTCTCAGGCTCAGAAACCCCAACGGAACAAGCACAAAAGGCATCAGAGACAGGTCTGTGGAATACATTGCAGCAAGTGAAATCCATCCAGGTAATGCTTTGCCATTACCTTGCAGCTCTTATGAACAAAGCACTGTCTGCAAAGCAGTTAATAAAACAAACACAAAGTCATTTCTGAATGAAGTAATTCAGATTCTTGAAAAGCAACCTGCAACCCAAAATGTTCTGCTTTCAAAGCCAAGGGGCTGCACTCCCTATTACTGTCAAACTTCCATGATGTGACCCAAAATTTAAAAGGCATACATACCATTATTTTTCCTCTGCTCTGAAGGGGGGAAAAAAAACCCCATGTATTTTAGTGGAAAAACAGCTTCACTGGAGATGGCAAAACTAAAAATATACTTTCTGCATCAAATGCTCAGACACATTCTTTACCTTGGGTGACTTGTGTACCTTTAATACACAAATTGAAGTGGGAAAATCACTTTGACTTATTAAATATAAACCAGCAAATATTGGCAAGGTATTTGTTTGGACTGTTAACTGCTGCAGAATGATTTAATGATAAAACCCATGCTTTATTTTCGAGAGTTAGGGTGAGATGCAGTAAGGAGGCTGTGAGAGGTAAGAGAATGCAGCCTTTGTTTGGTAGTGCAGAGGAGCCACGGCACAAAATCGTCTTAGGTAAGAGGTGGGAGCCAGTTTCCATTACACTGAAAATCCTCTATTAGATGGAACCTTATTTTATGCATTAGGCATTACTATTTCCATCCTGCCCTCATAACTAACAGAGGAGGGAAAAAGCAGGAAAGACAGGCGATTGGAAGGGTAAGATCTTGCCTGTATGAGGAACAGATCTGGTTTAACAAGCAGGCAAAATGCATTTTTGCACTGACTGAGGTTAAACCAATGCTGACTGCATACCTGCTCACTTTTGTGTACAATTTACATTTTACCAAACCTTTCTCAGCTACTCAAGTTTTACTGTAGATTAAGAAACAAATGCAGCTTTCAGGTCATCTGGGGCTGTTGAAACAAGCAGAGTTTAATGAATTCAAACATGTTAAGGTGTTCAAAGAGACTTAGATCTTTGGGTAGGGATTTTTGGAGGGTTTAATTTGCAAGAAAAGTACATGAAAAGCAGTGCTACTTGGTTTAAGCTGCTGCATTGAAAGAAATAATGGACAGAAAACAAGTGTGGATGGTAATCACAAGGATGGTTTCACAGCATTCAAAAGGGGTATTCCAGAGCTAAAAAATAATGCCTTTTTATTCCCATATCCAATCCATTTGAACACTGTATCATTCTTTTCAGAAAATCACAGCTTCCACTGTAAAGCTCTAAATGATCAGCACTCTAGAAAACTGTATAATTTACTTTTCCAGTTTTTGTATTTAGCAAAGATTAGGGACAGAACAGACCAAATCCAAAGGAAGAAGGGAACCAGCAAGACAATGCATGAAATTGCAGGCAAGTGAAACAACTCCAGACTTTGAACTAAGTATTATTCTCTTCCAGTATAAGAAACAACACAAAAGACTCAAACGAATTTATACTTTATAAATGTTCACTTTTATTCAAAAGCTTTATTGCATACATTTACAGAGTCACTTAAGCAGCATATTGAGTGAACTGCAAGTATTTACTGTAGCCTTTTTATCCTTGTAGTCTGCCACTGAGGTCTGTCACTTTTTCATTTCCTCTCAATAGGCTTCCAAATTATTAACAAGAGATTTCTAACAAACAATGACTGTAAACATAATAAAACCAGGACGGTATTTCCCCTTTGAAGTTATTGACTTGGGTGTTTTTCTGCAATGAAGTAATGACTTATTTTTTACAACCTGAACTGACTGAACCATGCTGTATACACGGGTAGTCCTTATGACTCGATCAGAGAAAAATGTGTTTAGATGGATAAAGCATTCACTTATGATACCTTCAACTCAAATGAACCACACAAGAGGTGGGAACAATTCATTGCATAGTCCTCATTAGCAAGCAAGAGGCTAGGAAATCAGTAACAGGGATAGTGCAGATGGAGATTTAGGAACAACTAACAGATAGTTTTGGTTACAATTACAAAAATCTTATTTTTGTAATACTGTCTGGTAGTAATGTCTCATTTTGTCAGCCCTAAACAAGTATTACAATCTCCCCAAAATAAAGCGAAAGATTAATTTCTGAATATAAAATGCCTGACGATGCAGAGTAGTATTTTTATGGCTTCTGCAGAGAAAATATAGGCAGTTATCAGAATTTCCACCTTGATATTGTCCCACAAGTATGATACAGATTTTTAAGTCTCTGCTTAAGCAGGTGAAGAAGTTTAGAAGTATCCTAGTTTGGACATGCTGGTCATAGTGTGCAGGAAGTGAGATGGGAAGGTGACAGCTGGGAGTCAGAAGAGAGAAGGAGCACACTGCATTCCACATGGTATTCTTTCACAGCAGAAGACAGACCCTTCTGTGAGAAGGGCACAGCCAAATGAACTTAATCCAGGTGTAACTCTGCTGCACACCAGCCTTAAAACAAAACTAGGTATCCCTTCACCACCCACCCTGCTTCCTCCCTGCCAGCATTGCACCATCACAAAGAGTAAGCAGGCACACTCTGCTTTCCTCATCTTCAAATTTATTATCATGCCAAGATCTGCAATTTACTACTGGTCAATGCTTTCAAATATGAAGAATTATTTGAAAATGTAATAATAAAGTCTGTGATTAATTGAACAAAGTGCTGGAGGTTTGGTGGATCACCACCAAAGGTCAGTGTTTACAACCAGTCACTGTATAACAGTACCAATTATCACTTTTCTTTATCGCCCAATGAGGAAATTGTTCCCCAGTACCAGACAGTGCTGTGACTTCACAGCAATGCACAGCAGGTCACCCAGCCTCACTCTGCACAGGACAAACACAGCTGACAGGACAGCAGTCCATTCAATTTTCAAATAAAAACTGAGAAAAGGAAAGGAGAGATGGACTGAACAGGAGGTAATTTCCATCTTGGAACAAAGATTATCTTGTCTCATAATTAAATGTTATGTTGCAATTTGATTAATTTTATTTTGCAGGAAATAAATTAATTCTTCATCCAATATATTGCCTAGACATGTAATTTTCTCAGTCACAGACAAAGCTATTAGACTGGAATTACTCAAAACATTTGCTAATCTGTGCCACATAGCTAAACCTCTGAGAGATAACTGTTACAAATTTCTACTCTTTCACTGAAAAAAAATCTCACTCAAGAAGCCAGTTCTTGTTTATAACACATTTATACCACTCTTTTTTATACCACTCAGTGTTAAAGCATATATATTAAACACCTTTTACTCTATCAGTGATTTCAAATCGGGAACATTTTTAATCTGGAAATCCAGCAGCATCTGTCCAAGTGCTTTACCCTGTAAGAAAAAGAATGAAACCAACACTTCATTTTACTATACTACCTTTGTAAACTGTTTTAAAATGGTTTAATTGGGTATTTTTCCTATAATCAGTGTAAAAAAATCACTATGTTCTGTAGGTTCTCTCTTTCTATACCTATATAAATTTTGGGTTGTTTTAGCAAACCTTGGATTGTAGGTTATCTAAAGTTATATTTACCTTTTCCATTTATTTACCTTTCTCTCTTGCAAATCAATACAATTAAGTAAGGAAAGCTACAGAGTTGAGTTTTCAAGCATCTAAACCCAAACAAATTGAACATTTTCTTCAATGTATTTGGTACCTAGTGCTAAAATCAATTTGGGGTTCAGTTCTACTAGCCAATCAATACATAGCATCATCCTATTTTGTGAGCAGTTTCTTGACTGAGATTATTTGTACACATAAGCAATTCTCAGCCTCTGGTGGCAGAGCTCTGCTCTGCTGTAGCCATAGCATTGCCATATTAAGGGATCTCATATTCAGGTTTAGGTGTTTCAAATATTTAATACTCAAACTGTACAGCTGCAAAAAATGTTACTTTCAGATTCACATCATGTCATCAACACAAAAGATCTCCAATCCATCTGTTTTTTAGATTTATATTAATTATCAGGATTTTATCTATAGGAGGCATAGGCTAAATTAGAGGAGTTGTTGTACAGTGAATGGTTCCTGTACATACCATGAAACACTCAGAACTGTCTAGTAAATCTGTATTCTTCAAAATGTGACAGCCTTTTTGACAAAATAATTTTGCTGGTGCATCTAACACCACAGGTAGCACACCACAAAGAGCATAAGTGATTTGAAGACTATCTCAGTTATTTCTTGTACACATCTTTTTCACCAAATATTCTAAATCAACTCTTTACTTCCCTGTGTTGTTTTCAAACCTTAAAAAAATTAAACAGATGTCTATTAACAGGACATGAAAAAAACCTAAAGAGTCAAAAGCAAAAGCTTACAGTTCCAGCCCAAAAGTTGGTTATAAAGAGACTTATGAAAGGTAACTACATTAAAATCAATGCTTTGGTACATGCCTGTGGGTCACTTCTTAGGGATGCTATGCCACCACCACCAAGGGAATTCTTCAGAACAAAATTTAATCCATGGATTCCTGGCAACTCGTATCTGTAAGATAAAAACTGCACATTATTTCTCAGGAGATTTTGTAAGGAACACTTGTACAGAATTTCAAGTGAGAACTAGCATGCAAAAATGTCCTGTTTCTGATCACATCCCACTGCTGAGCCAAGTCTAAAAGTTAACAGGATTAACTCATAGCCTTCTCTGTATTCCTTCCCCTTACTCCAAATCAACAGTCCTTAATAGTTTTAAAGTAGGACCATAAAGTAATCATTCTTCTCTACTCCTTCTCTACTTCTTGTATTTCTCTTCTCCACTTCAAAACTCATTCATTTCTAGTAAGGTGTTTCTAGATTTCTTTTTTTCCTGTGAAAGCTCCATAGGCCAGAGGTTCTAGATCCAGTATGAAACTCAGACAACACAGTGGGCAGAAAGAAGTATTTTTAGGTTCCTAGTTCTAATACTAAAAAGTCCAATCACTTTGTTCCTGGAACTCAGTTTTGCTAACAAATGCTGCCAGCTAGTTGGAAAGGCACACTCTTTATTACTGAGAAATAACTATGAGTCACTACATCAAACCCTCACAACCAACAGATGATTTTGTAGTAAATTAAAAGTAGAGCTACATTTCAACACTTTCCTGGAGCCATGTACTTTGTTCAGATAAAATTTTATTTTGGTGTGACAGACCTATTTTTGTTCCATTGCCACTGTAAGCACTTTTCCATCCTTGCTTTTGACTGGTGCAGTTCCAATTTGGAAACTTCTGTGGCAGTTTGGCAAATGGCTCTGTGGTTTCCTATTGTTTCAAATTCCATAAATAGGTCTACAGCATATTTCCATTTGCCTCTCCTTGCACAGTTTCTCAGTGTTTTGTCATCTTCCTTGTGTTCTTGTTTTGCTTTCCTCCAATACTTTCTTGATCTAAGGACTTGACAGCTTTCCTTTAATTCCACAGGAAAGGATTTAATCAGCAAGCCACGAGGAATAACGGAGAAAGATGATATCCAATTCTTGCTCTGTCTCTAAATGTCTGACTGCTGCAATTTAAATAACACTTCCTCCAACACCATTTATTTTTCTCTATTCACCTGTCTGATCTTTATCTGTTTGGGACAGAGTCTTCAAACCTTTCCTCTCACATAGCTGGAATTTCATGCAGTGCTCTTACACTGCTGATCTTGTCACTCTGAGGTCTATCACTTTCAGCTCCTTTTAAGCATTGTGAAAATATGGCTGTTGCTGATACTCACAGCCCTGTATGCCCTTGGATCTTGGGCATATGATTCAAACCTTTCATGGAAGGAGATGACTCTGCTGAGCAGTCTGATAATCACTTTAGTTCTTGTTCTTGCAAGCAGTATTCATCAAATGTCTGTGTCTGTCTCCCAGGCATAAAGTTTTCACTGTTCTTTCTACTCTTTCATTATCACACTCTACTTCAGTATTAACATTTTTAGATGTTATTAAGAAGAAAACTGGTGCTAGCATTCTGTTGTCCTTCCTTGAGAACTAGTAAACAAGCAACACACTTAAAGGCAAATCCACTGGGAAGGCAGGAAAGTAGATTAACCCACCAGTGCTCTACTAGACAACAAGAATATGAAAAATAAAAGAATTTCTACAATAAGTCATAATTTACTAAAATTAATAGCATAATCAACTACATAGCACAACCAGAGGACCTCACAAAATTTTCAACTGAAAAACTCAACACAAATTACCAATCACCATATACCATGAGAGCTAGAGGTCTAACAAAACACTATCAATTTCATTCTGAAAAACTGGCAAAGCTTTCCAGGCAGCAAACAATTTCACAACTGGCAGATCTCTCCACAAGAACCAGACTGATGGAATATGTGTTCCAGAAGCTAATATCTCATCTCTCAAAAGAAGTTTCATGAAAATGAATCAGGAAAAACCAATCAGGAGAGAAATTGAAGAACATACAAATGCAGAAGCAAAAGGCAAAACGAGTGGAAGAATTTCACCTTCTGCAGTAATTCTGGTAGAGAAAGTAAGTAATACAAGCAACAGATCTTAATTTGGAACAGTATAGAATGGCACATTCACTTCAAGTACTTTGAAGAAATATTTACAGTGAGATACTCTAGCTAAAACTAGGACTACAAAACACAAAGGTCAGCATGTTCAGTATTTTAAGGCCTGTTGGAAGCATCTGAGCATCCAAAATATTTCCACACATAAAATAAACTCCCACAATAAAAGAAAGAAAAAGCACTATACCCATCATAATAATCTTAATCAGCAACAATGCATTAACCAAAATGTTGGCAGGCGTTTACTCAGCATAATTAAACAATTTAAGCTTAATTAACTGAGATCTAAGAGGAAAAATATTATCTAATTGTACAATTCAATCAAAGGTTTTAAGAGCTGCTTTTAAAACGCACAGAAAACAAATAAATGCTTCAAAGAATACTAAGTCCTTGACAGAAACCAGCAAAGCAAGGAAAATTCACTGTTCTGCTGAACTCCTGTGCTTATGCACAATGGGGTGCCTGCTTAACTACTTCCTTTAAAGTGCTGTCCATACATATTCAAAGAAGTCAGGTTGCCCTGTGAATTTCCTGTTAAAATGCACGGAAATAGTAATGACACCACATTATTTAATGCATTTAAACAAAGGAAAAAATAGGATTCCTTAAAATAAAAAAATCAATACAGAAAAAAGATAGGCAAGCAGGAACTGAGTCCATAGGTGTTTGTGTATGAGACAATCTGTAGGAAAGTATTTATTTTCACCCCAATAAATGTATGTACAAAAAAAGCAATCTAGAAGCATCACTATCCACATTTCTTGCTCTTCAGCTCTTCGTGAAAATATCCCATAGAAAGAAATCAGCTGTCAATTTATTTTTTTATTTCTCAGCATTGGAATGTTCTCAAAGCATCCCATATACCATATTTCAGAAGAGGAAAACAGCAAAATCTCACAGGATAGTTTTACTATCCTTCTTAAATGACTGACCTAATACCACTACATAAAAAGTTGCTTATTCTGTATCCTCAGACAATTAGGTCTGTTAACAATGTACTCTAGTGTGGGAAGAAATCACTGAGGTTTGGGGTTTCAGGGTGTGGAGTTGAAAGATCATCTTTTGTTATTATTTCACCTGAAAATCTGGAAGTTTGAGTTTTCAGTGTCTTCTCTGTTTAGTACCCGTTTAATACCTTTAGTGAAAAACTATGAAAAGCAACTGGTTAACAGTCTGTTTGTAGTGAGGCAGAGCCATGGTTGGTATGTTTTTAGTAGCAAAACTCGTATTTTTTAACCACTCACCATTTAAATAAAGGAAATGAAGGAAAATGAAACAGTAAGATAGCTCTTTTCTAATGACAGTCACAACTAAAAAATAAACAAGTAATTTAAAAAGAAACTACACAATCTGAAGCACATGAGCATAATCCTTATAATCCGAAATATTTTCACAAAAGGGTTTATTCTTTTCCCAGTACTTTTCCAATTCACTCACAGAGCTCCATTATCACATCATTAAAGGAAACCAAACATAGGAACAGATAATCTAATTAATCAAAATAATTTGGCTTCATCCAGACACAGCAAATTTCAACTTTTTTTTTAATGAACATAAAGAGCATAAAGGAACTGCAATGAATCAATTTCTAGAAGTATCATTAGCAGGCATGCCATTTTTTATTTCTTCCCTTCTCTGCTCTGCTTCAGAGGAAATTCAATTACGTTTCTTAGTATCACAATTTACTAGACACATAAGATTTGTTAGCACTTACAGAACAGTGGATGAGATCTGCACTGAGCTGCTTATGAAGACAAAAACCAGCACTTACAACTCAAAGATCAGGGGTTAAAATAACTCTCTCTGAGCTGTGAGCTATACCTTTCTGACTCACTCTCTTGGAACAAGCAAGAAGACACTTAACACTTTATACACTGCCCATGGAAATATATAATGATTTTGGCAGAAACTCCTATTTGCAGAATAACTGACTTGGTAACAAAACACGTTTCAGAAGACTGGATCATTTGTGGCACTATTAAGCTTTATTTGTTTTCAAAGAGAGAAAAAGGTTTAAAATCTGTTGACTGTTTTACTGGACATCCTTAGGAGAGTGAGCCCTATTACATCACGATACAACAACAACACGGGTCTCGTTTGCCAGTCCCCAGGAAGCACTGGGAGCATCAGCTGTACCATGAAAACAAAAACATAATGTATGCTGTCTGCTGGCAGAGGATGTTCTTTTTGTAAAAGAGCATCAGGAAAAAGTGTCCTGTTTAGGATGTATTCTCATTTGTATTTGAAGAAGGGAAATCAGCTATTTTATTTTTTAAAAAAAATTCTGGCTTGGTCTATGTGGCACAGAAGTGGGTGAGAGTGGGGTACCCAAAGGAATACTTTCTCTAAAGTGAGTATAGTTCATAAATATTAGAATGTTTTGCAGAAATAAGCATGGTATGAAGCATGTTTCTGATAGATGATCAGGTAAATTTGGGCTCTGAACTACACTGTCTGTGTGAATGTCTTTCAGGTGATGTTTTACACATTTCAAACTCCAAGTTCTGCAGTAGCTCAGAGGCTTGGGAAGCTTCAGTTACTAAGGCTCCTACAGTTTCCAAATGCTTCAAAACCAATGGAAAGAAATGTCTCAAAGGATATTAGAAGCTATTTCTAGTTGGTAAAGACATTCTGTACTGGAACAAAACAAAGAAACAGCCCAAACACTACCCTGCTAATTCTGCGACTTTAAATGCCTCCACTAAACGGATTCGTGGCCTTTGTCCTGCTCCAGGAGAGGTCCAAGTTCATGTTCTTTTTCAATGACTATGCTCAAGCTGTTATTTAAAAAGGCAAAGGAAGACACATAAAACCCCCCACTGAAGACAATATACACAGGTTTGCAATATTTATGTTAACACACTTTAAGATAACTTCTCATCATGTATCTACCACATAACTGTGGACCAAGCAGCAAGCTACTCACCTTGTTACTAGTTGTTCTTCTGGGGTTTTACGTTCTAAAAGGTGTTGAAAGTAATTCTCCAGGGCTTGTGCAGTTAAAGTTTTCTTTAGGTATGGATAGTAGAGGGGATGCCGTGCTATCACACCTGTTAGGTATTAACTGGTGTTAGTCAAAATAGGAGTTGTTAAAATCAATTTGCATTTATCCTTTCAAAACTGATTTGAGATCTTCCTCTTAACTGAAACTGTACAAAGGATTCTCTTTAATGAGCTCCTGAATAAGAAACACAGTAGTATGACAGCTCTCCCTCTGTCCATAGAGATGTAGGGTGGAGCATGACACAAAAGAATGTTAAGCGACCACTAAGAGATTATTGGACTTCTTCTGGCTGCAAACAGTCCCTGTCACTGGCAGACACCTAAAGAACAACAATGTCACAACAAACAACCCACAAGCAGTTCTCTTCCCCTAGGTGGTTTGTAAGGCTTAGACAGTAATCACCATGAACCATAACAAGGCATGATCAGTGACTGCAGGTTTGGTCCTTGCCCCACCTCTTACATGAGATTCTGACGTGTGAGAAATCACAATTGCATTTTTATTGCTGTAAATATGCCTTCATAAGCTTAAGTTAATTTTATGCTGAAGCTGAGGTTCCAGAGCAGGATCAGGAAAGCAGATTTGTGGACTTCAAAGCTAAATGAATCTCAGAGGTCAAGTTTGTTGTTGTCATTGTTGTTCCTCAATAAAGCAGCAGTATCTTTATATCAGAAAAAGTCTATTACGTATGCCTAATTCATGATTTGGCAATGCTACTTTGCAACAGTGGTCAACTATGGGGAAAGAGAAACTCAAAAAAAAAAGGGAAAAAAAATAAATCAACATTCATTCATTCATTCTTCAAACCAAAAAACCAGTTTCACAAGCAAGGACAAGAAAACTATATTCCTAAATACAAATGAACAAAATTAATCAGTTTTAGCATGAGAGCAAATAGCAAATCAAATCCCAAACGCACCTTTAATTCATACTGAGCTTTGAACACCACACGCTCTCATCTTCCAACAAGTAAGAGAGCCAATTGTTGCATGCAGAAGTAAGGAATAGAAGGAATTATTAAACAATGCAAGAAGCAGCACAATCAATGTAAAGAGACTGAATACTGAAATCACCATCTGGATTGACAATATAATAAAAACATTCTCTTACAGACAAGAACAACTTTGGTATTTTCTAACATTGTCAATGTTTTAGCAATACACATTACAAAAAAATTAATGGATGAAAATATTGTACACGATCAGACAACCAAGAAATTGTATTACATAATACTTACACATGAAGGAGTAGCAACTAATGTGTAAAGGAAACCTTAAAAAGGCATTTCTTAACTTTTGGGAGCTCAACTTCCCAACCCTAAACAAAAATCTTTCCATGTAGTGTGACATGCTACTATTTTTAATTAGTACCTCACATTGTAACAGCTGCTAAGCAGAAAACTACAGTTATTTCATTAGTAAAATCATTGTTTTATACATAGTCTTTTTCATTACAGCACAATTAAAAAAATAAAAATCAAGTGATGTGAGAGATTTTTAAAAAACCAAGAACAGCACTTGGTATGTAACTCTTACATGAAAATCTTACACCACTTCAGAAAGCAAGAAAAAGAAAAATACCTATGTTTGCAGAATTGCCTTTGTCTCCACTTCTAGTATAGGCAAGATCTTCTAGGCGGTAAGTGTGTGGACCACTTGGCAGATCTATGCAATACAAAAACGAGTACATTTTAATGATTCTACCAATAACAGCCATTTTGAAGTAGTATCTGTCACTTTAAGTGTGTGCTTTCTGCGGTATTTGTAGCACTTCTGAAAACATTTCCAATCTTCTTCCCATAGGAACACCTAGACAAAAAGACATGACACCAGGGGCCAAAATTACCAAACTGATCCCTCCTGCTCAGTCTCTCAAATCTCTTCTACCTTCTTACAGCTGAATACTGTGCCAGGCATTCCCTTCATCCAGCACCCTCAAATATGAATATTTATCTTGGTCTTAGCAATGCAGTATCTCTGAAGGAGGCATAGCAGCTACTTGTCACTTCTTGACTAGCTGACAACTTTTGTCTCCATGACACACAGATACCTCTGCTTCCAGTACAGGTGGAAAATACATGTAGTTGGAATGTCCTGATAATTCTGTAATGTCTGTTTATTCTGATAATGTAGGTAGAAAACAGTCATGATTTAAAATTTCTTGTCAAGACAACGTCTCCTACTTGCATTCACACTGTTAGAGCAGTTACTTATCCAGCTACACAGCTTTTCAAATTACTGATTTTGTAAATATCTTAGTATTATATAAGAAAAGGTGCGTGATCTGAAGGAAGCCAGTCTTAATTTTTTAAGTTGTTGATGTCTGAGTATTAGATTTTCAATCCGTTAGGAACACAAAGATTACTGCACTTCATTTAACAATGTTCCTATTATTTTTATCCATCTACATATCAAAAAGCAAATCCACTCTCGCTTAAATCCAGAAATTCAATATTGTGGGATTCACACAATTTATACCTTAGGTCTGATGGTTACGTTACACACAGATCTCTTGCAATTGCTGATTACTAGGAGTAGTAGAGACTGTCACCACAGTTTCTCTTCTCCAAAGCAAGAGATGCAGCACTCGCTGCTACTGAGCTCCAGTTCTTCACCAATTGCAGGCAACGCTGAATCTTGATGTGTAGGCTATATCCCAGTTCTTAGGCAGTGAAATCCAGTAATTTTCAGCCAGTTTTGCTTCTGATCCAACTTCCCTATGGTCATATCAGCTTTCCTGGCATCCTTTGCTTTTCAGACCCACCATCTGCAACACTCACCTACACTCCTGACTTGCAATAGACTTCTCACCCCTCAGTTGCTCTCTCCTCTGTCCCCTTCCCGTCGTTTTTTCATTCTGCATGCAAGTAGCAGCTCTCCTCCTCTCTCTGCTCCTTGGACACCAGTAGGGGGAATATGCAGGGCAGAGAAGCAACAGCCTTCCTGCTTTGTCACAGCTTCTGGTGCAACTGCTGCTGGTGGCAGACACAAGCAGCAACTGACTAAGGTCCCAAATTTTTTTTATTTTTTTTTTAAACACCAAACAATTCAGCCCTGAATTCACAGAAAATTTCAGCCTTATGCGTTAAAAACTGCCAAAGTTAAAGGAACTGAAGGGAGGGTCTTGTAAATCAATTATGTTAGACAAATTTCACATTGCCATACACAATGCAATTTGAAAATACATCGGTCTGTCCTTATTGCTTCTCCTGAGGATACCAAACTATTTTGGGCTTTTTTTCTGGGGGCATGGGCTGGGGCTTTTGTTTTGTCTTTAATTTTAGGGAGTAAGAGACCCAGTACTAAAGAGGTTATGCTCTAAATGCTGGCCAAGGCAGCATTTAGAGCACAGTGCATCTACTAGGAAGGCATGGGTAGATACACACCCTGTGAACTGCTTCAGGTGATCAGTAAACCCAGCCCCAGCCAAACCATCATTACCTGCAACTCCTTCCTGCCCAGAGAATTGCTGATTCATTAGACATGAGCCAGGTTGACCTGGATAAGAAGGAAACTATGTCCAAATCCTATTGGCTGCAGTTTTCACCGACCCTATCTGAAAGGAAGGTTGTAAGTCTATGGTAGTGGCACCTGGACAGATCCCAAAAGTTCATCTGGCTATGGGGTGGCAAATACAGTGGATAATGAAAATGCCTTACTATGACATGACATATAACTTTTATAGTTCTTAGTTTATGGTACTTATTTGGTTGAAACAGAGCAGGGAACACTCACAGAGTAGCTTTGCTGGCATATCTGAGTGGCAATAGCAAGGAAAACATTAACAAAAGAACCAGGGGCTCACCACAGCAACCTCTTCTACTGGCACAGCTGGATAAGAAAATCTACCCACACTCTGAACAACAACCTATCAGCCTAAAACTGCTTTAACTAAGACCTAGAGTTATATAACATATATTGAGTCACTGTCAAAAATGAGCAGAAAGAGTGACTATAGTGCAGTCTGGTACAATGGTTCTTCACTGCCAGTAAGTCACAGTAGCATGAAATTTGAAATGGTGAAAGCATACAATCATCAAAGAGATGACACAGGACATTTGGTTTGAGCTTGATGCGTACAATCTTTTCCATGTTCACTTGCAAGCAGAAATGTGCCATGAAAATTAGCAGAAATATTTTAAGGGCATATTTATTTAATAGGGGAATATTATTTTTGATTTAAAATCTCCATTAAGAGAGGATCTGAAAAAGTCTAGCTAAAGCTCATTGCTCATTTTGGAAAGATCACCACACTTCATACACTACAGAAATAATCCCATTATTTTTAATAATTTCATTCAATACATAATTCAAGAAAAAATGTAGTGCTTATTCAGAGGCTGAAGTTCAATGTCTACATTGTATAAGCTCTAGAGTCTCTTCATCAGACATTTTACACAGACAGCCTTTAACTATCTCCCTTTAAACAAAACCAGTTCAAGACACTGCTCTGGTGTTCTCGTTTATTATTATGCTAATTGATTTCTCTTTCGTGATCTGTTTATCAGGAAATTGTTTTCATTTAATAAACATCTTAAACAAATCTACAAAAGAATTCCCTTCGAAGCTAGGGAAAATGGCAAATTCAAATTCCATCCTCCCAGAACCACATCTAGCAGCATTTTTGAAATCCATTTTCACATATTTCTCTTATCTAGCTAAAGACAACTAACAGTCCCTCACATTTGAGATAACCATGAAACTAAGAAAAATACTTCCCTCCTTACTAAATGCTGACAGAAAATGTTTTCGCAGAAGCTATTCCTTTTACAGTCTAACCCATTTGTCTTCTTCATCCACGCTGTCCTGCATTAAGCCACAGAAGGAGGTAAGTATTTAGTCACATACAGAAAACATTTATATTTACAACTAAGGGCAAAAGTTTAGAGATCCCTCTCAGGGGAAACACCCAGAGAAGCTCTGCTGTCTCTCAAAAATGGGGTTTTGCCTGAAAAAAGCCTGCAGATTTCAGTACTTAAATGCTGGTGTCAGGCACCTCAGAAAGTTTTCTCAAATATAAGAAAGCAATAGGGAGTCCAATAGCTTTTAGTTTTTCCAATATTTAGCATTGTAGCCACCTTGAAAAAAAAAATACCAGGACCGTTGCTAAGCACTTTATTAAACAGAACAATGACTTCTTTTTAGTTAACTTGCCCAATTTCATGGTGCAGATACCCTAACTGATCTCCCCAGATCTTCCAGGCCTTTGAGAGATTCTGGTGTGACATTAGATTCCCAACAGACAGAAGAGCTGAAAACATACTGGAATTGAACTTGGTTTTGTGTGACACAAATCATTGTATTGAAGAGATGGGGAAAATGAACATATGCATGGCAATCAGGCACCCACTATCAGTGGCTTTCAAATGGCAATAAATTCAGTCATATGTGTATTTCAAAATTTCTGTGTGATATAGAACATTCCCTACTAAGCCATAATTAGTTGTTACACTATTCTATTACCAGTTTTGAGAAATACTATTCACCTATATCTGGAATCCAAAATAAGCATTAACACATTGGTGCCTTTACAGCATTAATTTTTCAAGTATATTCAGACTTAAATACATGAATTACTCTTTCAACACCAGTATTTCTTCTAGAAATTTTTCTAACAAGTAATCTTTAGGTACAGTCACCTGTACTGCAAATATCTATCCACAACTTTAAATTAATTCTCTCCATTAATCAGAAATAAGGTAACAAAGACTGTTTGGACCAAAAGGCAATTATGAAGCATGGTATATGTTAAGAAATACCATATATAGTTCTGCCATTAGAAAGAACATAAGCATTTTCAAGTGTCTAGCACTTTCAGTAACTGGTTGTGTGAGCAACTCTGAACACTCCTTTTCCAATGCAGACATCCTGATCTGCTCCATTGAAGTTCACTGGTTTGCCCTTCTCAGGTTTCTTCTTTTTGTTCTCAAAAAACTTGGTTAGACAAGTCTAACACAGGAATTATCATGCTGGATCATTAACCTGGTGTGGTTTCTTTAAGAGTCACCAGTTCCAGGCTGACTCCATTCCTGATCATTTTGTGAAGGCTGCTGTATGGAACAGGAGTGAATTTTACTTGCTTAAATGCTAAGCACCCTATAAGCCTGTCCCTTATTCTGAACATAACTATTCTGATGTAAGATAAACCCAACAATTTCCAGGACTCACAAGAAGTAAGATTACAGTGTGCTTTGAAACCCTGGTTCAATTTCGAGCCAGCTCTGCACTGTCTTCAGTTGTGTCTAAGGCCTAGCTCTTTTGAATACCAATTTACTTACATACTCATTATGGTCTCAAATACATTTTATACTGTAAGACGTTAACCACCTTCTGTCCGAGGAAAGCAGCTCACGTGTTTTGCAACAGACGTAAAAATATATTGTATGAAGAGATAAAATGTATTTCACAGATAAAAACCTAACACATGATTTTTCAGGACAAAGATAGCAAATGATACCTTCACAAATACAAAGATGAACATACCTTTGAATTCACTGCTAATCTTAGGTGGATCAGACAAAACCACTTCATCTGATGTAAACGTGAGATCTTCCTCAAATGTCTCAACATGCTGCCCATTTAAGAACAGGTTGATCTGTACAAAAATACAGATTTTCAAGCCATCAAATTAGAAATCCGTTGCAAAGTGAATAAATAAAGCATATTTCTAACGAAGTATTGATCTGGTATATTTTCAGTAACAGCTTTATGGGTATGGTTCCATTGCTCCCATTTAAAAAGTCACAATACAATAATA